CTGGAGGGCAGTGGCATGCTGGGCTCAGGCGATCCTTCTGCCTCAGCCTGCTAAGTAGCTGGAACTACAGGTACGCACCACCATGCCCAGCTAATTTTTAAAATTTATTTATTGTAGAGATGAGTTCTCATCAAGTTGCCCAGGCTGGTCTCGAACACGTGGGCTCGGGCAATCCTCTCACCTCAGCCTCCCAAAGTGCTGGGATTATTGGCGTGAGCTACCACGCCTGGCCTAGATTTTATATTTTTAAAGTAGACTAACTTACATGATTTCTGATCTTAGCCCTATTTGTCCTCCCAGCTTTTAATGACCTATTCAAGGTTCTTCAAGTTTGTCTTTCCCATATAGTCTGAAGGCCATCAAGCCCATGTAATCCATGTTCTTAGGGAGTATCTACATGTTTTAACCACCTGAAAAATCACAGCATTCAACTAACTGACTTGCCACTGACAAATTCATATCCAACAACTCACTGTCTTCCTCTATCTTATTACCTATGTCGATTTATATCTTATATTGATTTATATCTTATTACTTATATCTAATTATAGCTTTCATTTTCTCTATACTCCTGGCATCTGTGGCATTACAGATACTTCAGTACCTTAATTAGGACTGGTGATGTCTTCTGGTTTACATTGCCTATCTAAGAAGGAAGCTAAAGGAAAACTCACTAGAACCCTTCCAAAACATAAAATCATCCCAGTTGATTTCCATCTCTAGTTTTCTTACCCCACACCCAGTGGTCTTTTCATGATATAATTGTTAAAGTCCATCAACTCTTTCCTCCCCTCCTTTTGAGTTGTAGTCTCACTCTGTTGCTCAGGGTGAAGTATAGTGACAGGATCACAGTTCACTGCAGTCTTGACCTCCTCGGCTCAGGTGATCTTTCTACAACAATCTCCTGAGTAGCTGGGACTACAAGCGCAAGCCACCATGCCCAGCTAATTTTTTTGGATTTCTGTAGAGATGAAGTCTTGCTGTGTTGCCCAGACTAGTCTCGAATCCCTGGGCTCAGGTGATCCTCCTGTCTCAGCCTCCCAAAGTGCTAGTATTACAGGCATAAGCCACTATGCCTGACCTCTCTCCTTTTACATACTGCCTTTTGTTTCTGAACAATTCCTCTCTCCTTTATTTGAATTGCCAGCTACTTTGAGTCCATCTGAAACAATAGGTGTGGATGTTAAGGCAAACACTAATTCTGATAACTTTACCCAGGCTGGCTCCCTTGCTTGGCAAGGAGATAAGCTCTAGATGACAGTTTCATCTCCTGCTGTTTTAGGGTACAGAAGCAGTTGGTATTTCTAATATCAGGAGCATACAATTCCTGCTCTCTGCAAGTATCTAAGTCTGTGAGTAGTTGCCTTATTTTTTGAAAATTAAAAATAGGCCGGGTACGGTGGTTCATGCCTATAATCCCAGCACTTTGGGAGGCAGAGGTGAGAGGATTGCCTGAGCCCACGGGTTTGAGACCAGCCTGGGCAACTTGGTGAGACCTCATCTCTACAATAAATTTTTTAAAAAATTAGCTGGATGTACTGGCACGTGCCTGTAATCACAGCTACTTGGAAGGCTGAGGCAGAAGGATCACCTGAGTCCAGCAGGTCGAGGCTGCGATGGCCATGAGCACGCCACTGCACTCCAACCTGGGCGACAGGATGAGACTCCAACTCAAAAAATAAATAAATAGAAATTAAAAATAAACCTAGGCTGGGTGCGGTCAATAACGTCTATAATCTCAGTACTTTGGGAGGCTGAGGTGAGAGGATTGCCTGAGCCCGTGCGTTCGAGAACAGCCTGGGCAACTTGGCGAGACCTCATCTCTACAATAAATCAAAAAATTAGCTGGGCATGGTGGTGCGTGCCTGTAGTTCTAGCTACTTGGAAGGTTGACGCTGAAGGATCGCCTGAACCCAGCAGATGGAGGCTGTGGTGGCCGTGAGCGTGCCACTGCACTCCAGCCTGGACAACAGAGTAAGACTCCAACTCAAAAAAATAAATAAATAAAATATACCTAACAAATAAACCATGGACATATTTTGCATTTTTATGAGCTTTTAAAATTTAAAGGCAGTGCATTTCCTCAAAATGTTAGATTAAAAAAATTGCCCAAGTGCTCTCTCAGGTAAAATGGGCTCTTGTATATATTCACATCTACTTGTTATGCACCAGATTGACCATCAGCTTGATTCTACACCTCCATGTTACTCTACTGACCGCTTAGGCCTCCACATTCACTAACAGTCAGCATCCAAGTGGATAACTCATCTTACATTCAGACCTCCACATTACATACAGACTGTTACTCCTGTAGAATCATGTCCTCCAGTTTTAGCTGTTACCTGAAAACTTTCATCCCTCTCCCTGTTAGATTGGTTCTTTTTCTCCTCTGAACTGCTATTCAGGACTTCTTAAGACAAGACTTTAACACATCCCCTCTTGTTTGGATACTTTATAGTATCTTACTCTTATACTTTGTACTTATACTCTTATACTTTATAGAAAAAATAGAAGGCATCTGGAGGGAACACCACAATTTCCTACCTTTGCTGATTCTCTTCATTCAGTTTCTCTGGAGATACACCTACCTCATCCTCCAGGACAGTATTTTTTGTATAAGGCCAATTCCTCAGTACACTTAAGTCTTTCTAAATCTAAAATAATTTTTAAAGTCCCAGAGTTTCCTTAAAAATTAAAAATATGATCCATTAACCATATGATCCAGCAATACCACTTCTGGGTAAATATTCAAAAGAATTGAAAGTAGGATCTCAAAGTGATATTTGTACACTTATGTTCATAGTAGCATTATTCTCAGTAGCCAAAAAGTGAAAGCAACCCAAGTGTTTATTGATGGATAAATGGATAAAAAAGATGAGGTATTTACATACAATGAAATATTATTCAGCTTTTTAATGAAAGGAAATGCTAGTACATGCTACAACATGAATGAACCTTGAGGCCATTCTACTAAGTGAAGTTATCCAAGTCACAAAAAGACAAATACTGTATGATTCCACTTATATGAGATATTTAACATAGTTAATTCATAGGAACAGATAATAGAATGATGGTTGCGAGGGCTGAAAGGAGGGAAAAGTGGAGAATAGTGGTTTGAGTATAGAGTTTCAGTTTTGCAAGAAGAAAATGTTCTGGAGATCCTGGCCAGGTGCGGTAGCTCATGCCTGTTATCCCAGCATTTTGAGAGGCCAAGGTGAGAGGATTGCATGAGCCCCAAGACCAGTCCGGGCAACATGGCAAGACCTCATCTCTACAATAAATAAAATTTAAAAATATTAGCCAGGCATGGTGGTACACAACTGTAGTCCCAGCTACTCAGGATGCTGAAGCAGAAGGATCGTCTGAACCCAGCAGGTCAAGGTTGTGGTAGCCATGATTGTGCCACTGCGGTCCAGCCTGGGAAATACAGTGAGACTCCAACTCAAAAAAAAAAAAGAAAAAGTTCTGGAGATTCATTACACAACAATATAAATATACTAACACAACTTAAAATTTATTTTAAAATGGTAAATTTTTATGTTATATGTCCTTTATCACAATTTTTAAAAAGTCCCTAGATTGCACGTCTCTTTCTAGCTGCTCTCTAGAACATTCTATGATTACTGTCATTTCTTTTTTACCTTTCACTCTTCCTTCAGCCCATTACCATTGACTTCTGCATTGACCATTCCACTAAAACTGCTCTCGCTAAGGTTGTCAATGACCTCTTGATATTTCTGGGCTTACTGCTCAACCCAGAGTATTGGACTCTGTTCACAACTTCTTCCTGGAAGTTCTTTTCTCCTTTGGTTGCTGTGAGACTCTGCCTTGTTCTTTGTGGATGTCTCACTGTGGGAAAACTCAACTAAACCTACAGTACCAGCTATTAAATTTATATCTCTTATCAGATCTCTCTCAGCCTGGTCAGTTTTATCTGAATGTCCTATAAGCTCTTCAGACAACTCTCAGATTAAACTCATCATTCCTCCTCCTGTGTTTTCTAGCTCAATGATATCATCCCCAAATCCGATTCTGAAATCTGGAAGTCATACTAGAATCCTAATTCTCCTTTATCCTCCAAATCCAGTTAGTCAAAAAGTCCCGCGGATTCTACGCCCTATTAATTCTCAAAATTCATCTCAATTGTTACTGCCTTGATTTAGATTTTCATCGCCCACTGCCTTCAAGCTGGTCTTTTGGGCTCCAATTTTGTCTTCCTCAAACTAATCTTCCACATCGTGTTAGAGTGGTCTTAAAACTTAGGTCTGATCAGAAGGCTGGCTACTTTAAAAAATCCTTCAGTAGACTACTGTTGCTTTTAGGGTAAACTTTCAACTCCTTAATATTCAGCATAGAAAGGCCCCCTGCGCTCCAAAGGATTATAGATGATTGCACTCTTGCTCCAGCTATACTATTTTTGCAGTTCCAAGCAAAGTGCCACGATGTTAAGTTCGTTGATGGCCTTGTATATGTTCCCTCTGTCTAGACTGTCTTTATCTGCTGGGCTAAGTTCCCTTCATGATTCAGCTTATGCTACTATGTGCTCATCACTTTATCCGTTCCCTCACTATATTTAGTTCTTCCAAGGCAGGGACTAAATTATTCATTCCTGCACTCCACCCCCTAGCATCATGTCTTTTTGTGAGTTATCCCCTGGTGTGGGGTACTGGTGGGTATGCATATGTGTGTGTATGCGCACATGAATGAAGAATGTACATTTGAATTTCTGCTGCCCAGCGCAGCAGAAGACACGAAAGCTAGGTTATTTTAACTCAGGCTTTTCCCATGGTTACCACCGAAATTACTGAGCAGTCAACCACCTCCGACCTCTCCAGCACCCTAGGATAGGCATCAGAACGTCACCTCTGCGCCTGCGCGGGGAGGTTTAGGCGGGGCCAGCGACTTCCTCCGGGTTAGGGAGAGTGCGCGCAGGCTCAGCCCGACGAGAACCACTCTGATCTGGCCCTCCTTTCCAATTAACTGCAGCAGGAGCACGCCAAAAAGAGCTTCCGGGAAGGAGAAGCCACGCTTTCAGAGCTGCAACATGGAGGCTAGCAGTGAAGCTGATGAGTCGGTGAGATGGTGTTTTGGGATCGGATGGGTGGGGAAGTCTAGCTGAACCTTGAACACTTTCCTCCTATTTCCCTCCTCCCTCCTCCAGGTTTCCGGGGAATTGGTGTCTGTGGCACATGCTCTTTCTCTTCCTGCAGAGTCGTATGGCAACGATGTGAGTATGAGATCTGCCACCAACTTATAACTCCCTGCCCTGATACTTTCTGCAGACCCTCTCCACGTTTTTCAGAAATTGCTCCTTCTTTCAATTCATTCTACTTTTGGTCCACAGACGCAGAACTAATGTCGTGGAAGTGGTTTTCCAGCTTTGCTATGCTTTAGGATCACTTAGGAAGTTTTTAAACATCTCTATGCCTAAATTACACTTCATATATACTAAATCAGCATGCCTGGGAGATGGGAGCCAAAAATCAGTCGTTTTTAAAGGTCCCCAAGTGATTCCATTGTGCCGCAAAGTTGCACTGGTTTATGCTATGTCTGGTTTAGACCAGTAGGGAGAAAGCAAGTGGTGTATTTTCTGAAACAAGACAAAGGAATGTGAGAGAAGTAAAAACACCCAAGTAAGAATGTGGCGTATACTAGATAAGTAGATTAGGCCATGAGATTCAAAGAGTTTAGACGAAGGAGAGATCTCTAAGGACCAGGGCAATAGATGACTTGACCAAGGAAGTGGAGCTTTAATTGTATCCTCAAAGTGTAAGTGAACAGAGGACATGACAAGTAAGAAAAGTGAATGATTTAAGGCGTGGAGGTACAAATACAAATGGATTTTTCTGGAATCAGTGAAATAAATTGATCTGGTTGGAGTGTGAGATTCCAATGGAACAGGTGGTGGGTACTTTGTAAGACTTATTTGTAACCTGACCTGTGTTATATGCTAATTCGTATCTAGGTGTTATAGGATGGGGAATTTGCTGTCTGGTAAACACAGATGATGAATATGACATGCTACAGTCTTAAAAGTGAAAAGTAGTTTTCACTTTGGTTATCTTTTTTCTCCCAACAACTTGGTGTAGATGGCTATATTATTTCAATTTTACAATTGTTTAACTCAGTCCTGAGGAGGTGATTTATCTACTGCTTTATTTAGTCTCCCATGCTTCTACTAGTTGCTAGAAAATGATAGCCAGTGTCTCATTGTGTTTATTATACTGTTTAAGTAGCTTTTTATGGTTGTCATGAAGACAAAATAATTATTATATTGTCCAATTGATTAGTCCAGTTTTTTATCCTTTGACAGTAACACCAAATTGGGTAGCCCCCTTGAGCATTAACAAGACACCCACATACTTTCTTAATTTGTTATCCAGTAACAGAATTGGGAGATTTCTGACTTGGCATTCTTCACTCCTTTGCAGCCTGATATTGAGATGGCTTGGGCCATGAGAGCAATGCAGCATGCTGAAGTCTATTACAAGGTGTGTTGCCTGTTGCCGTCATTAAGTGGAATTAAACATGTAATTGTAGTATATGGTGCTCTGCTAATCACTATTCTCAGTAAGTTAAACAACTGTGTTTTGGAGATAGTTTTTATTACTTTAAGTTCTTACTCACAGAGAACAGAGGGGTGGAAGTGAATTTGTTTTGACAGGAGTTCTGCTTCTTTGCCCTGTTTTATGTTGCTAACTGGCAAAAGGATTCTTAGCCCATAAATAGTAGACACTTAATAAATGTTTGTTGAATGAATGAACAGTCCACAGAGGTGATAGCCAGGGCCAAATGGGCCAATTGTCAAATTGGCGGAAGGGACTGTAATAATATATTATGGCCCTTTTAAATTGTGTCATGATTTCATCCAGGACCTAGACTATTAATACTTCCTAATAAATTCTGCCTGGGTTTTCTGGTGGAGGGGAGGGGAATAGAAGTATAGTAAAAATTTGAGACTAACATCTGTATGTTGTCTGTCTGGCAGCTGATTTCATCAGTTGATCCGCAGTTCCTGAAACTCACCAAAGTTGATGATCAAATCTACTCTGAGTTCCGAGAACATTTTAAGGAACTCAGGATAGATTTATTGGACCCAGAAGAACTGAAATCAGAATCAGCTAAAGAGGTAAGAATTCTCTTTTGCAAATATTACCTGAGCAACAATTTTTGATTGTGAGTACGTTTTTATACATTTAAACTTTGTTTGTTTTAAGGAAAATATGTAAAGAACTAGAACTTTTTGTAGTTATAATCAACTAAGTAAGTTAGGAAATGGATGGTTTTTTGGCTATGGGTTTTTCATATTCACTGAGTCTATTTTTTTCTGGTTTTTTATTTGAACATTTCTAATCTCCACTCACCAGCCCCTTTCAAGGGAAGAGAAATGAGTTAAGTAGGTTAGCCAGAAGGTTTGGATGGGGGGGTGGTAAATAAGGCACAAAAAGGTATTTTGATTCTCTGGATTTGAATTCATGTGATCTCAGGCCATGGATAACTGGAAGACTTGTGTTTTGTATTGCTTATGTGATTATCTTTGACAGGGTACTAACATTATTACAGTTGGGGAAAATTTTTCCTTGAGGTTAAGCCCTTGGCTAATGAAGAAGCTAAACTTTTAACTCCTACTGGGCTGTTACTGATCTTTGGAAAACTGACACTACTGAATGGACTTCTTTCTCAAAATCCAACTTAATGACTTTGGACCAAATTTTTCCCTTCTTTGTCTCATTTGTGCTTTAGTGGGGATAAATAAACATTTTGGGCTGAGCTGGCCAGTAACTTCAAAACAAAACCGAATCTATTTAAGAAATCACATTTGAATTTAGTAAAAGTTTTATGTGTTTTTTTTCAGGTTAAAATATTGTTCATGTTGGGAAATACTAGTCTAAAGGCACAATAGGTAGCACAGAAACTCACTGCTAGTTTCATTGTGAAACTAGCAATCACCTCAATCTTAGTCTCTTCCATTATGGTTATTTTCCTTACTGGGGAAGTAGAAGCCCCTCTCCTGGTCTGAGTACATCAGCCTCTTCCGTTTTTCAGCTAACGAATCATTTTTACCTTTATAGAAGTGGAGGCCATTCTGCTTGAAATTTGATGGGATTGTGGAAGACTTCAACTATGGTACTTTGCTGCGACTAGATTGTTCTCAGGGTTACACTGAGGAAAATACCATCTTTGGTGAGTTTCTTGCCTCTGGAATTATTTCTGTATATGGAGAGTGAGCCAACTGGTTTCACTGATGAATCAATGACGTGTATAGTTAGGTTGGAGATTATCTTATTTTGTTATATCTTTAAAGATCACATTGATGTTTCTTAAGTAAATATAATATAGGTAAGTATTTTCAGTCTCAATATAAGATTGGAATTCAAGATCTTTGAAGCTTATGACTATACTTGAATGGTTTGCATGTTTGGTTTTGTCAGTAGATTTCCAATAGATTTAGGGAATAAACTGATACTAGGACAGTAATAATTCTGTTTACCTTCCAGCCCCCAGGATACAATTTTTTGCCATTGAAATTGCTCGGAATCGGGAGGGCTATAACAAAGCAGTTTATATCGGTGTTCAGGACAAGGAAGGAAAGAAGGGAGCCAACAACAGAGGAGACAATGGAGAAGAGAAAGTAGCTGACAGTGGAGAAGAAAAAGAGAAAGGAGTCAACAGAGAAGGAGAAAAAGAGAAAACTGACAAAGGAGGAGAAAACGAGAAAGAAGCTGACAAAAAAAATCAACAAAAGCAGTGAAACAGCTATATAAACTAGACATGGAACAGCACTCTAGAAGCTGTGACTCAGCTGAGTGTGCCAAGTACCATGGTGCTACTTGCTCAGACCCATTTAGTTAAATGTATGTTCTTATGCAATTGAAGGACACTCAGAAGGACATCTGTTTAGCCTACTAATCAGGAGCTGCTCTCATCATTCCCTTATATGAATTGGCTTAAAGACTATTAATGGGGTCTTTGATTGTTTCTTGGTATATTATGTTTTTTTTCACCACTAGTCAAGTAAGAAGTTTTGTAAATAAATTTCATTTGGTTCTTATTATCTATATCTGTTACTGACTTTAAAAAGGTATTTGAAATTATTTGACACTTCACATTTTTTCCAGGTATACTTATGTCTATTTTTAAATTCTCACTGATTGCTGTAGTGAAATTCTCTCGGCTTGTTAAATTGTACTTGGTGTTGAGTCCTTAAATAAGAATTGACTCTTAATATCTGAGTGACTATAGCTTCCTGATTTCCTTTGCTATATATGACAAAAGATTTGATAAATATTCTGGGGATAACAGCAGCAGCCTGAACCTGTCAGACTAGTAAATGCAGCCCAGTTCACATTAGAGGAGTAAGAGACTGAACCTACTTCTCTGGTAGCCAGGTTGTTACCTGAATGCTAGCCAGAAAAAATAGAAAAAGTAAAAGTAAAGCCTGATGGAGTGGCAGAGTGCCCTCTCTTTTTTTAAAATACTGTGGGCAATAGTAGACATTTATATATTAACACAAAAATATAAACATTGATTTTATATGGATGGGGGAGTGTTTTCTTCTTATGGCTCTTAAGAGTGCGTGTCTTAGTTATCGTCACATATTTATGAAAGTTTGTGCATGTCCCCATAGACATACTAAACTGCTAAAACTGGCTAGAGAAATACACAATGTTTGTAGTACATACAGTAAATACAAGTCTAACCACAATGTGATCATGCAAGCAAGAACTTACCCAAGCAGAGAAGGGGAAAATTAGGCTTTTTTATTCTGATGAACATGGGAGAAAAATAAAAAACAATTGATAAGTTGTGTCTTAGGCAACTTATAATGAACTATAAATGCATACAACTAGCAGCAACAATTACAAAGCAAATAAGTTTCTTGATAAATTCTCTGGCAAATTCTTAAAAATATTTAAGACATTTTTTAGAGGTTTTATTGAAATGTATAGTTTTTTTTTTTGAGTCAAAGTCTTCTCTGTCACCCAGGCTGCAGCGCAGTGACACAGTCACAGCTCCCCACGGCCTCAACCTCCTGGACTCAGGCAATCTTTCCTCCTCAGCCTCCTGAGTAGCTGGGGCTACAATCACATGCACCACACCAAGCTAATTTTTAAAAAATTTTTGTAGAGATGGAATCTCACTATGTTGCCTAGGCTGATCTCAAACTCCTGGCTTCAAGCTATCCTCCTGCCTCAGCCTCCCAAAGTAGGAGGATTACAGGCGTGAGCCACTCAGCCCAGCGAAAACATGCTTTTGAAAGGATAAGCCGGGCTCGGTGGCTCAGCCTGTAATCCTGCACCTCTGGGAGGCTGAGGTGAGTGGATTGCCTGAGCCCACGGGTTCGAGACCTGCCTGGGCAGCGAGACCTCATCTCTACAATAAATAAATAAATAAATCAGCCGGGCGTGGTAGCGCATGCCTGTAATTCCGACTACTCGGAAGGCTGAGGTGGAAGGATCGCCGAAGCCCAGCAGGTGAGGCTGCGGTGGCTGGGAGCGGCCACTGCACTCCAGTCTGGGTGACAGAGTGAGACTCCAACTCAAAAAAAAAAAAAAAAATTTGAAAGGATAAGAGAATGTAAATACTTCATACTAGACAGACTTTATTAAGAACCATTACTGCGCTTTCTCTGGTTCATATATTTTTAAAATATCCACAAATGTGTATTTATATATATTGCCTCAGGCTGAGAATGAATAAAGATCATTGGCCACGTAAAAGTGTACCTGTAGTGGCCCTTTCCAGGTTGCCCATCAGTAAGACAACCTTAATGATATCTTTGATCAGTTTTACAGAGAACAAGAAGCATGCATTTGGATGTCATAACTGCTTTAAAGCAAGAGGCAACTGTCCAAGGACTAGTGATGAAAACTGGGGAAACGGAGGGAAATAAGTACACAGAACACCTCAGCTTCACTGTAAGAGTCCAGAAATCCAGGGTTAGAGGAGGAGTAAGCAGAATGTTGCTCTAATGCCCCAAGATTCCTACCCCTTGGCATACATACCTTGTATAATTCCCACCTGTTCGGCGTGAACAAGACTTGTGAATATGAAGGGATTCCATTCATGTGATTAAGTTACTGATCATTTGATTTCAAGTTAATCAAAAGAGAAATTATCCCAGATAAATCTGGCTTAATCAGGCGAGTTCTTAGACAAGCAGCTGCAGCAGATGTTCTGATGTTGCCCTTGAGGAAGCAAACAGCTATGTTGTGAGAGGAGGGGGCCAAGTGACAAGGACCTGAGAGTGGTTCTCTAAAAGCTGAGATTGTTCCCTGGCTAACAGATTTCGCTCCTCTGTTACAAGGAACTGAATTTTGCCAACAACCAGTGAGCTTGTAGAAGATCTCAAGCCTCAGATGAGATTGATGCTGTGATTTTGGTCCTGTGACATCCTGAACAGAGGACCCAGTTAAGCTATAGCTGGACTCCTGACCCACAGGACTGGGAGGTAATAAACTCGTATTATTGTCCTAAGCCACTAATTATGTGGTAATTTGTTACAGAGCAATAGAAAACTACAGGTCGGGCTCAGTGGCTCAGCCTGTAATCCCAGCACTTTGGGAGGCCGAGGCGAGTGGATTGCCTGAGCCTGTGGGTTAGAGACCAGCTCTGGCAACTTGGCGAGACCTTGTCTCTACAATAAATCAAAAATTAGCCGGGCGTGATAGCACAGGCCTGTAGTTCTGGCTATTTGGAAGGCCGAGGTGGAAGGATCGCAGGAGCCCTCAGGTCGACGCTGGAGTGGCCATGAGTGTGCCACTGCACTCTAGCCTGGGCGACAGAGTGAGACTACAACTCAAAAAAAGAAAGAAAGAAAGAAAGAAATCTACTACAGACTTTGGTACGGAAATGGAGTGCTGCCATAACAAATGCTTAAAATATGGGAGTTAAAAAGAAATGTGGGAGTTGGCTTTGGAACTGGAGTGGGTGGAGGCTGGAAGAATTTTGAGGAGCATGATAAAGAAAACCTGAACAAACAGTCAGTAAGAATATGAACTTTAAACATGCTACTGATGAGGACTCAGAAGCTATTAAGGAACACGTTACTAGAAAGTGGAGGAAGAGTGATCCTTAGTAGGAGGTGGCTTTGTAGTTAGACGCCAGGAAGTTTTAGATGTAAAGCCCTTGCTCTGAATTACTTGGGAGATATTATCATGCCCAACTCAACATAGTGTGTAAACATCTACGATTTATTCAAAATGTGGTACCATTCCAGTTACTCATGTCCCTGGCATCTTTAGGAGGCAGGAAAAGGACCTAGACTAATTTTTACATTTACAGATAGGAAAACTACAGCCACTTTTAGAGTTTTAAGTCACCGAATTTGTAATAATTTGTTGTAGCAAAAATAGGAAATTAATAAAGAAGGCATGCCAAGCCATGCCCAAAAGTAGAGACATTCACTGTACTCTTATTTATTCTGAACCTATAGTTTGTTTGTTTGTTTATTGAGTTGGAGTCTCTCTGTTGCTCAGACTGGAGTGCAGTGGCATGCTCACGGCCACCTCGGCCTCGACCTGCTGGGCTCACAGTATCCTTCTGCTTCAGCCTCCCAAGTGGCTGGAACTACAGGTGTGCACCACTACGCCCAACTAATATTTTGATTTATTGTAGAGACGAGGTCTCACCAACTTGCCCAGGCTGATCTCAAACCCCGGGACTCAGGCAATCCTCTTGCCTCTACCTCCCAAATGCTGGGATTACAGGTGTGAACCACTACACCCGGCCGAAACCATAGTTTATACACAGGGTTATGTTGTGCCAGAGAATTGGAGACATGAACTGCACCCAAAGTGAGCTTGAATGATTGTAAACCATTTTGATCTTACTCTCCACAGGAACTCCTGTAGCTGAGTCTGTGTGTGTCAGGTATTGATATAACTAGAAGTTCTCTAAAATTACTACTATGTACAATACAATGCTTATTAATGAAAATGTGCTCATTTGAAACTTACATATAAATAAAACTTGACAGTAACTCCATCAATTATTTAAAACTGTACCAAGAAGAGTTTTTGATTTTTGGTTTTTTTTCTGGCGAGCAGTATTTTACCCTTAACATTTTTTACAATTACCAGAGTATAGTGATAACTTAAGCAAAGTTTTTTTTTAATCGTTTCCTACAGATAATACACCTTTTTATTGCCTGTACTCAGTGTGGACGATTCTCACCACCCAACCTTGCCATATCACTGTTATTCTCATGCATTCTTTATTCAGATAAATCATCATAACATCATTCAAAATAAAGGCATGTATGTATGTTATGTGAATAGTTCTTTCTCCATGCCTAAATTTTTCTATCTCCAGAATTGTGGAACCATTATGAATGCTGACATATTTTTGTTGGTCTCCTGAATTGCACTGCTCTAGTTTTACATTTTTCCTGCTCTACTCAAATAATTCCTCTGAATTTCTCGATTTAAATTGTACCTTCTTGAAGTTAGTATTTATGTTTTGTTTTACAAGTTGAAAAACAGATTAAGAATCATAAAATAATTTGCCCTTCGTCACATAAATGGTAGTGTTGGGATTGAAATCCATTTCTCTTGATTAAGAATTTCATTGTTTTCCACAATCCAAGTTCCCACTATTCAGCTTCCTGCTAGAATAGATACAAAAATAATTTGGGTGAGGAATTGAATTATTTAATAATCTTAAGTAAGGACATTCTTTTGTGTAGTAATTTACTGAGCTAGTTTAAGCTCCTAAAATATTTTCAGTCCCTTTCTGCCTTTTTCCATTTCTCTCTGCAAGAGAGAATCCTTGTTTCATAGGCAGCTGAGACTTGTATAAAAAGCACAAAGGCACACATTTTAGTTAGGGTAAATATGTTATGGAGATCTACTGTAAAGCCTGGAGACTATAATTAATAATAATGTGTACTTGAAAATTGTTGACAATAGATCTTAAATGTTTTCACCACAAAAAAAGACAAGCCTGTGAAGTGATGGATGTGTTATGTAGCTTCATGTAATCATTTTACAATGTACACATATATTAAAACATCACATTTTATACTACATATATAATTTTTATTTGCCAATTATATCTTAATAAAGCTGGGATGGGGAAGAAAAGAAAAAAGACGGCAATAGTTATATATACTTTTTAAAAGCGTTATAGTATAATCTACGTAGTGTATCACTGTAACATTTCTTCAGTTTCAAGATTATGTTTTGCCGGGCTCGGTGGCTCAGGCTGTAGTCCCACGCCTTTGGGAGGCTGA